AAAAATCCATCAAATAAAAGAAAAATAGAGAATATCTATCAAACAAGAGACATTCAAACAATTTTATAACAAATCTGAGGTACTATAGAATCTGTCTCTTATACACATCTAGATGTGTATAAGAGACAGACTCAGACGTCGTCCACCGCATGTAGATTGGGTCTCTATAAACAAAATTAGCGGAGCCTCACATACACGACATACATACGACATTCAGCAGATGCAAACGATCAATCACATGCAGGCTATATCAATCATACAGGTCATTTTTTCGTCACAAGAAAACGATCACTTATTCACCACATGCGACCGATCACTTGTTCGCCACATGCAGCCGATCACTTATTCGCCACATGCACACGATTAATTATTCGCCATCACATACGATTAATTATTCGCCACGGGCAAGTGATCACTTATTCGCCACGTGTGAGCGATTACCTTTTCGCCACATGCACACGATTAATTATTCGCCATATGCATGCGATCAATTGTTCGCCACGTGACTGTGATCACTTATTCACCATGCACACATGATTAATTATTCACCATATATATAGATCGACTATTCGCCTCCTGCAAACGATCAATTATTCATCGCAATCGATCAATTATTTGTCAACTATTCGCCAATCAATCAACTATTCGCCTCATATAAACGCACACGTATAAATCTCGTTGGATGTGCTATTCTAATTTTCAAAATGTGTTCTAAATTCAAGTAAAGAAAAGAACACTTTTTGCCCTCATGTGATGGTGCCCTCATTTTGATGGTGACTCCGAATCTTAATTCCGCACCAAAGGATGGGCAACTCAGACGTCGTCCACCGCATTTAGATTGGGTCTCTATAAACAAAATTAGCGGATCACTTATTCGCCACATGCGACCGATCACTTGTTTGCCACATGCAACCAATCAGTTATTCGCCACATGCACACGATTAATTATTCGCCATCACATACGATTAATTATTCGCCACGTGCAAGCGATCACTTATTCGCCACGTGTAAGCGATTGCCTATTCGCCACATGCACACTATTAATTATTCGCCATGCACATACGATCAATTATTAGCCACGTGCGATGTTAGAAATTTCCGTATTTCTTGAATCGTCCAAGTTGACGATTCTTTTTCTTAATCTTAGATAGGAAGGGACCTGTAAATAGTTAAGATTCGAACTTGAGATGTGACGACCACGGCATTGTTGCTCCGTCAGGAGTTCATGATTTATTAAGCCATTCCTTGCTAATGTCCTATTTTTCGTTTGAGTGATCACTCTTAGTTTTCGTTATGTTTAATTTTTGCATTTAACTGCATGTTCGAACTTCTTTGTTTATAGAAGGCTAGACTCCGAACGCGCTTGGGCTTTGCCTTCGACTTAAATTAGTATATTGGCCTGTGGCTTTTGAATTTTGTATAACGATTAAACTATTTAAATAAATATTCCTTACCTGAGAGGAAAGACGAAGTTCTTCCTTAATCTTTACTGTATGGCCACTTAAAATGCCTCTTAAAATTTCAGCTTGAAGCCAAAGATTTTAAGGTGGGTTTAGGGATTGTATAAATGTAATATTGAGAAATGATTGAGCTCTAATTATAAAATTCCATATTTACTGGATATAAAGCGGTAGCATTCTATTTTTTAGAATAACTGCAACTCCCGAGGGGCCGGTCCGACTTCTGCTACACTGGGGAATCTCATCTATATTCATTTACCTGTTAAATGAGGTGTGTGTTTGATTCAATTTGAAGCATTCTTAGTTTACCTTTGCGCCATTGTTGAAACATTTATTCTAATATTAATCACTGTTACATAGCTTGCGTACTACTGTTTCTTTCATTTCTTTCACAGTTATGTTGGGCTTCGTTTTCGTCCGTTGGGACAGATGTTTCTAAAGCTCAAGCTGTTGTTTCTATGAGAATGTCGTCTGTGACCGGCGCCAAACTGCTTCGAGCGGCGACGTTTTCGAAATAAAATCGTTCGTATGAATTGCCTTTTGTATTAAGCCTAACAGCGAGTGATCATTTATTCGCCACGTGCACATGATTAGTTATTCGCCATATATATACGATCGACTATTCGCCTCCCGCAAACGATCAATTATTCGCCGCAATCGATCAACTCCGCAATCAATTCGTCAACTATTCGCCAGTCAATCAACTATTCGCCACATACAAATGTGCACGTATAACTCTCGTAACTCTCGTTGGATGTGCTATACTAATTTTCAAAATGTGTTCTAAATTCATGCACTTTGAAAAGAGCACTTTGTGGCAGTTTTTGCCCCATGTGATGGTGCCCTCATTTTGATGGTGACTCCGAATCTTAATTTCGCACCAAAGAATGGGCAACTCAGACGTCGTCCACCGCATGTAGATTGGGTCTCTGTAAACAAAATTAGCGGAGCCTCACATACACGACATACATACGACATTCAGCAGATGCAAACGATCAATCACATGCAGGCTATATCAATCATACAGATTTTGCCCTCATGTGATGGTGCCCTCATTTTGATGGTGACTCCGAATCTTAATTCCGCACCAAAGGATGGGCAACTCAGACGTCGTCCACCGCATGTAGATTGGGTCTCTATAAACAAAATTAGCGGAGCCTCACATTCACGACATACATACGACATTCACCAGATGCAAACGATCAGTCACATGCAGGCTATATCAATCATACAGGTCATTTTTTCGTCACACGAAAACGATCACTTATTCGCCACATGCGACCGATCAATTGTTCGCCACATGCAACCGATCAATTGTTTGCCACATGCAACCGATCACTTATTCGCCACATGCACATGATTAATTATTCGCCATCACATACGATTAATTATTCGCCACGTGCAAGCGATCACTTATTCGCCACGTGTGAGCGATTATCTATTCGCCACATGCACACGATTAATTATTCGCCATACATATACGATCAATGTTAAATATTTATTATAAGATTTGTAGCAGACAAAATTATTTTTTCAGTTTTTTTAATATTGAAAAATATATATATATATATTTAAAATTATTTATTTTGTCATTGTCTCCAACTTTACGCAAGTGTGCAAAATTTCAGATCGATAGGATAAGTAGAAGTGTGTTAAATTTAGATTATAAGATTTGTAGCAGACACACAGACAGACAGACAAACAAGAAGTGAAGTTAAAGAGAAGTGCTGTAAAATAGTTCATTTTCTGGAATAATTCGATGCAGAAAAAATAATTATTCACTACTAACTTTTCGATTGGTGCGGACGGAGGCGGTGATCGGCTTTTGGGACGATGCCGAATTGCCGATAATATTTTTCTTATGTTTGCCTCGGGAGACTCTGACTGTGGCCGAGTTAACATAGCTCCTGGTAAAACGTAAATACGATCTCTGTGGTTTAAATATGCCAAAGCCTAATCAGAACGGCTTTCAAGCTCCAGGACCTCCTGGAAGCTTAGAAAGTAATGCAGAAAATCTAACTGAATCTCAAATGGAACACTTTGTAAACACAGGTGATGACTGGACTCAGTGGACTGAAGATCAAATGTGTGAAGAAGTGAATTCTGAAAGACCAAAGAGGAAAGCAACAGAAGATATGACCCCTGGTACTCAGCAGAAAAGAACCCATCAATCTAACAATGAAAGTGATCTAGTGAGAGAAATATACCCTATTCAGAAAAACAAGTTGATTAACATTGAGACTGAGAGAACCAATAGTAATAACAATGGAAACAATCGATTGCCAACAAAAATGGCGGGAAAGCTCTAATCGCGCCGCTCTGAAGGCAATTCATATAAATAATAATATAATCCACGCCTACGCTGGAGGAAGTTCAAACTTCAGAGGTGGAACTAAATGCAGTAAATTTGCAGTAATTCAGAAAATACCAGAAAAATACCAGATTTAGGCATATATACCAGATCTAAAATATTCATATGAGACACCTTTTGAAAATACCAGATTTGTGAAATCTGGTATAGAAATATACCATCTGGCAATGCTGGTTCAGCGTTACTTGAATTCATCTACAGACGATGTTGCCATTCCATTCAGATGAAAACTGTGTCTAAATCAGAACTGTGTCAGACAGCTCCGCGGCCCGCGCCGAGTGCTGCGCGGCGCGGAATCGATGACCGTGATTTGCACGAACGTCTGCGCGAAAAAAATATAATTAGATTGATTTACGCGAGAAATTTCCCCGTTTATATACATCTTCCTGAGTGTGGTATAATGATATTGTTAATGCTGCCATATTATTATGCTGGTATATAAGATACTAACTGTAACTGGTCTACTTATAGTTATAGGACTGAAAAATGAACTTTAGCCAAAGAAGTGTAGCAAAAAATGTTCGCCTTTACTACCATATGGCCATTAGGGTCTGAACACAGTGGAATTCTAGAAGGGGACAGTCATGTAGCTGCACCCCATGACCAGAGTGCTGCACACTTGAGGATGCAGGGGGGGGCCCTGGTTAGGGTAGTTTTTGGCAAGCCTGTGTAATGGGGAAACAGGGACATGATTGTGGTGCTGAGGCGCCCTCGTACAATCGTCCACAGTGTGCTCCAATTCCAGGGCATGCGCTCCAATTTTGGCCATTGTGCTGCAAAACCCACTAGGTACATCCGTGCATGGTCACTCATTAAGAATACATCTACAATGGCACCAATAAGCAGCATCATGCTGGGGAGAAGCAAATCTGTAATATTTGGTCAGAATTTTTATAAAATTACAGGTAGAAACAATAGTTTAATATGTGGTTGCAGGTGAAAATAGGCAATTTTTCTTATTTTTAACTTGAAAATATTAGTAAAAGACCATAGGTACTGGCATGGAATATATCCTATCTTTTGAGCCACAAATAAGAGCTTTTCTGCTGTTGGATTCCCATTTCCCCCTACATGAATTATGCCTCTGCTAATTGATATAAAACTGCAAAATTGGGCTCCCTGATTCCTAATAATGTATAAAAAATTTGTCACTTGTTAAGTTGTGAGCTGCAAGATTTCAGTCATTTGTAGGAAAATTCCAGTCTAGCATACTAAGTATAGGAACATGTAAAATTAATGGAATTGACAGGTGCTTTTATTCAATTTCCTGGTGGCAACTGTGCTGCCTACACAATTTTCCAGTTTAGGAGAAAGGCCATCCATTGTGGCTGGCCCTGGCGTGGAATATATCTATCATTTTAGCCATAAATAGAGCTTCACAGCCATTTTACTGTTAAATTCCTGCTAGATAAATCATCTCATCATCTCTTATCTAATTGTTAATAAAACTGGAATATTGGACTAGGTATTAGATTCCAAAGGTATCAAAAATTGGTCACTTAGGAGCCCCAATATTTTATTCATAACTAGGACAGATTCAATTTTAGGATGCATATGTATTTTTGACAATTTAAATTTTGTTATTCAGTTCTATTTGCAATAAAATGGGAAATAATTCAGTTATACAGCGTTTATCTAAATGATGTACCCAATTTAATAGATTTGTATTTGTTTAGGTATAAATTAAAAATGAATAATTTATGAACCAATGTAAAAAAATTCAACGTTTTTTTGCATATTAATAAATATTTAATATGTCCCTATGTGCTGCAGGGCAAACATCTAAATGCAAGCCAAACTTGTCCTACACACAAGAAAGCATATCTTCTGTTACTGAGTGCACCGCAGCAGTGATACAGTTCTTTACATCAACCAGAGTTGCTGGTAGAAGCGGGATGTAAACAGCTTCATTGACATAACCCCATAAGAAATAGTCACATGGGGTGAGATCAGGTGATCTCCATGGCCAGAAGTGTAGAACCTTCATTTCCTGTGCTACTAACCAATGCTCAGGAGTCAGGAGCGTTGGATAGGACAGCCATTTCTGCAACTACTGCCACTGCCCAATTCTGTGTTTGAATAGGTTGCAAAAATTATGAATTTTTGCCTTTCCATTGGTGTTTAAGTTATTCATTTTGGATTTAAACTTGATTAAATGCAAATTTATTAAATTGATTCCATCATGAAGAATACCCCAGATCAATGAAAATCTTGAGGCTCCACAAGTAGCAGTAAAGCTCTAGTCTTGACTTGGCTTTAGTCTCTTGACTAAATATATAGACTTTATCAATATCAAGTAATATACAGTGGGGGGAAATAAATATTCGTACACTTGAAAAATCGTATTTTAATGTATGTAAGTACACAAACTTAACAGGAAAAGTGATTTAAATTACTATGTATAGAGACGCATAGTATTCAAAAATACTATCAAAAGAAATTAAATCTCAATGCAACAAAAAACAATGCAACATGTTCACTTTTCGGGGTGACATTGTTTTTTGTTGCATTGAGATTTAATTCCTTTTGATAGTATTTTTGAATACTATGCGTCTCTATACATAATTTAAATCACTTTTCCTGTTAAGTTTGTGTACTTACATACATTAAAATACGATTTTTCAAGTGTACGAATATTTATTTCCCCCCACTGTATAGACTTGATATAACAGGTTAAAAGTAGTCAAAACTTGTATGGAATGCCTGACTAAATTCTCCATAAGTGGCTGATGAAAATCATCATTTGATGGATGGTTTTGAAAATGTTATGTTGAAATGTGACATTTAAATTAATTTATTTTAGAGTTTAAATTATGAAAAAGCAATGGCATCATTAAATATTTCATGGCTATCTTTTGTTTTGATGACCTATAAATTTATGAGTGGCTACTGCCCAGTTTTCTAGTTTGGAGTGAAAATATGTTACAAAGTTTTCATTTTTTTTCTCATTCTGAAGTCTGAAGCTCTTTCTGCCACTTTTCTTTCTTGGTGTTCTTGGGAAAGGGTGACGCATGTTTTAAGATTTTAGCTTACTTCCTAGTTTCTAATGTTTATTTATTTTTCTTACTGGCAGAAAATATTTTTTCATATTATGCTTTGATTGTGAAAACTGTTGGAGTTGCTTTACTTTTCCAGGGTCGGACACTTGCAGTGTTGAGGCACAGCAATTGTGGCTCATTACACGCCATGGCATCAGGTATCCTCTTCAGAACGAGATGCAAAGGCTTCTGGCTACTCTTCCAATTATTGCACAGGAGCTGATTTTCAATCATAAGGAAGGAAGAGGTAAGTTTTAGTGGTAATTCAAATAATTTTTTCCATATCATAATCTATTTATGTTTTGAGTTGAAATATTGTGGTTTTATTTTTCAGAAAGCTGCACCATGTGCACCAGAGTTATGAATTTTGCTTATGAATGGATTAAACTAGAACAAACATGATAATGAAATTGGGAAAATAAAGCATTACTTATTTCAGAAACTTTAAGGAAAATGCATTGGCAGTGTTAGGAGCTTGCATTTTAGTATTGTACAATAACAAATGAGATTTAATTAAAAATTCAATTTGCTTTGTGATAAAAATTGGCATGTTATTAAGGTTTTAAATGTGATATTTCAGCAAAACCCACAGTTTGAATTTTTTTAGATGAAATGCATAGATCAAGTATATTCAATGTGGATCTTACATTTAAATGATGTAATGAATTATTAATGCATTCTAATTTATTTGTTAGGCTAGTTAGCAAATTTGATATAGTATACCTATAGATATATACGGTACCTATATTTATTTCATACATGTATGTTTTTGAATGGAATTTCGAAGTAGGTCTTGTAGTATCTATTCTAAGCAAGCTGCAAATTTTATTATTCTCTGCATTTCTTACTATTTTTGGCAAAAAATCTTTAATTTGTTGAGTTTTACTGAAATTCCTGAGAATTTATTCAAAATTTAAATAAATATAATTTCTTCAAATTGAATAAAGAATCTTATTTTACTCCAAAATATAAAGAAATGTTTGTTGATGATCTTTATTCTAGAGCTATTGAATTCTAAAGCTATTACAATTATTTTTCTGTGTATAGGCTGCCTCTCAGATGCTGAAGCAGAAATCTTGGAGAAGTTCACACCACCGTTCAGCAAGCGAGATGTTGGCCAGCTTGCTGAGGCAGGCGCTGAGGAACAGTTCATGCTTGGCCAGTTCTGGAAAAATCTCTTCCCCCATTTATTTGAGGAGCCATATTCTAGAGATATTTATGAGGTACTTACGGTGATTGTTTCCAGTCTTAGCAAAGGAATTGTTTTTTCAATGTATATGTTTCATTTATTTTATTTTCATTGAGTTTAACATTAATGCATATGCTTTACAAATGTTAACTTATGTTAGGTTTTTTTTAAGCCTGCAGCAAAAGTTCATGTTCTAGTTTTGTTATAGCCTCTGTATTATTTTCCATTCATATCTTTGGTTGAATGTGATGAATCGGTACTCAATTCTTCCATTAATTTTACCTTTACCATTCATTCATTATTACCTCCAATAACTTTCAAAGGTGGAGTTCACAGTAGCCAACCGAACTGGTCAAAGTGCCTACCACTTTCTCCGAGGAGCTTTTGGAGAAGATGTGGTTGCCAACAATCCTCTACCTAAACCTCATTCTCCAAACTTCAAGCTAAGGGTGAGTTATCATGCTGCCAGCGTACCTAAACTTGGGTGAAATAAATTACTTGCATCAACTAAATGCTGTTGTAGTTTAATGTGTTGATCATTAGTTAACAGCAGCTAGGTTATATACGTATAGTTATTTGCTTTGTTTAATTCCCAGCCATACAAGACATGCCCAGCATGGCAGGCAGATGTGCTTAAGAGCAAAACTACGCTGCGTGAACAGAAATTGTATGAAATGGAACCAGAGTTCTTGGCCATGATGAGATCTGTGTCAGAACGACTCGGCTACGTGGAGACCATGAGCGTTGGTGAGTTGAAATTTTCTCCAAGCCTGGAGCTGTACCAACAAAACTAGTTTTGATAGCACCACTTTTCGAGACGAACTCACCATTCACGAGTGAGAAATTTCCCGCTATGTGTTCTTGAGCAAGTTTTGATAGTTCAGCTCCTGGTTCATTGGAGCAAGCCCAGTGAGTTGATGATTAATTCAATGGGGAACAATTTATATTCTTTAGTTTTTTCACTGATATTTTGATGTTACATTGTTCATGGAGTTCTCAACTGATATCATTTCTGAGGCATTGTTACAGTTGATATTATTTGTGGTTCAATTTTCTATCATAATCTATTCATGTTTTGAGTTGAAATATTGTGGCTTTATTATTCAGAAAGCTGCTCCATGTGCATAAAGTGTCCAACACTTTAATGCTAGATTTTGACTGCAATCAAAACATTGTAAGGTTCTACGTAAATATACATAAGCATTTTTACCGTTATAATCATAACCGTATAGTCACAAGCATTTCTACCGTTGTCAATCCATTTAATTGACAGATGTGTCCATCCGCTTCATCAACAGATGATTTGTTGGCGGTGTATGCGGAGTGTCGATACGAGACAGCCTGGTGGCCTGTCCGAGAAAGCGTCTGGTGCAGAGCTTTCTCTGAGCGTGATATTCTGGTAAAGTTAAACTCCTTATGCACTTACTTGTTTAAGAATTAATGTTGCGAGCATTTGTCACGAGACATTATTAGAGCACAATATTTTAGTGACCACCTAAATTATTTTAAGAGCACAAAATAATTGTTATTTCATTGTATTGTAAAATCGTTCTGCTGATCGCATCCAGAGTTTAGATAGTAATCATTTTATAAATGAATGCTGTTGAAGTGCTTGGCCACTTTAAGGAATGATGACACTCGTTAAAATGAAGTTTGTATGTCCCAGGTGCTTGAGTACCACCAGGCACTGAGGTATTACTACGAGCAAGCGTATGGAGGACCAGCTCTGAACTATGAGATGGCTTGCTCTACGGTCTCTGATCTCCTCAAGCAAATCAGGTCTGTTAGAACTTGAATATGGCTCCATTTCCGAACGTAATTAATACTGATTGATAATTTTTAACCATACTTATCATTGAATTTAACCATTTAAACCACTAGCTTATAATTACTTTTACTTAATACCTGTTCGTGTTCACAAATGAAGACTAAAAAAATTAATCACCTTTAAATGAAATATGAATGTTTCAAAAGTAAAACATACGCGGTGAAACGCTCACTAAACTGGCTCAACTAGAGACTTAAATCAAATCAATTACAATGTATGATCCCAACTTGGCCAATATTGTTTGCTACTATTAATTTTGCGTAATGGGCAGAAAATAAGAGAAATAAAATGTATTTATTTACAGCATGATTATGATTTCAATCTCAATTCAGAAATGATTGGAAAATTATATTTTATTATAAATCGTATATTGTTAATCAAATAGTTATCCGGATAATAAGAAAGATATTACTTCAACTGAGAAATAATAGAAATTATTAATTGTAATCTTACAGGGATAGAATATCAGGAAGTTCTCAACGCAAGGCTTCTCTCTACTTCTCGCATGACAAGGAGCTGCTTTTCCTTTATACTGCCCTGGGTTTGTATCGACCATCCTCTCCCCTCACTCACGACTCAAGATCTGCTCACATCGGGGGCCCTTTCGCTATCAGTTCTTTGGTGCCTTTCTCCTCTAATCTTGCATTCGTGCTCTACAGGTGAGATGTTCTAGTTCATTTTCGTGAAGCACTTCATAATTTAAAGTATTAATGAATTGTTCTGTTAATACCTCTGTATACTAATCAAGTATACAGATGTATAAAATGTATGCTTGATTGTATCCCACATTCCGACTCACGTGTAGTAGTCTGACCAATAATGACACACTATGTCTCGTATTTGTCTTGATATTAACACGTTCAGTGCTGAACCACCCACCAGTGGGTTGCTGGGTGTTTTTTTCCCGACAAAATCCGCAATTTTTTTTAAGTGCATTGTCCGACAAAAATTTATGATGTCGGTACTTCCTTATGTGATTTTATGAAATACGAAAAAAATAAATTCAATTTTGCACCGGAACTCACAAATTCACTCGTAAATATTGAATTATAGGCTTTTTTGTCTGCGGACTTGGCCGTTTTTAGGCCATCTGGCAACCCTGGTGGGTCGTGCCGTACTTAACGTATTAAAATCTTTGACGTTTGTGCAGTTGCAATGACGGTGCATACCGGGTGGGGGGCTTCCACTTGGGCAAACCGCTGTCGCTGTCTCCCCTGTGTCCTGATGACACGTCAGGCACTTGTTCCTGGCCGATATTGAAGATTGAAGACATCGCGCAGTCTTGCAACATACGCACGCTGTGTCGTCTGCGTGACGAACTCTGAACGCCGCGCAGTCTTGTAACATACGCACGCTGTGTCGTCAGCGTGACGAACTCTGAACGCCGCGCAGTCTTGTAACATACGCACGCTGTGTCGTCAGCGTGACGAACTCTGAACATCGCGTAGTCTTGCAACATACGCACGCTGTGTCGTCAGCGTGACGAACTCTGAACATCGCGCAGTCTTGCAACATACGCACGCTGTGTCGTCAGCGTGAAGAACTCTGAACGCTGCTCTTTGCACTGCAATTTGCTGGAGCTGAGAAATAGTCGATTGTTTTTTTATGTTGTGTATGTGTTGTTTCAGTTTATTTATTGATGAAGTGAATTGTTACGAATATTTCGATCTTCATTTCATGTTGCAAGATGTTTCACATAACTGCCCTGTGTGATTAACTTCTTTGAATGTTGCGAGTGTTCTTGCTGGTTTCTTTTCATTGTTCGCCATTTCAAAGTATTGCTTCATTTTATTGCATCGAATAATTTTTTGAAAATTATTCAATATTTATCAATAATAATATTTATTACATGTTAATATTTATGTTTGATTAAACTGCCTTACCATTTATTTTGTTAAGCGTGAGACTTGAAGTAGCAATGATGATGTATAAGTAAGTTGAAAAATGATTTGTGAAGTCTAACTATTAACGGCTTCATGCTAAATTAGCGTGTTCTTAACAAAGACAGATGTTCTCAATTATAAAGTTCGAAGTTGCAAAATTTAAGTCAATACAAACGAGTATTATAAAATAATAATTATCTATTATGGTATTTACTGATGAATTGAAAATATAAAGTATTCCGTGTCTTTCAATTACCTCGACACAGTTGTTTTACTTGCCTAAGTGGTTTTGTTCAAGCAGGGTACGACAGATCACTGATGTGATGCCAAGGGAATTACGCGGCAACGCTCCCTCTTACCCCAAGTTGCCAAACATGACCAGACATGAGCAGCAGTTCTGTTGTTTACAATAGATGCATGATGCGTGCAATATGTCCAGAAATGTGAGGAGTGATGGATATTGTGATCATAAACACATGTTGCCAAATATGTTTGGACACAAGCCAGCAGTTCTGTTGTTTACAAGTGATTCAAAATGCGTGCATCAAGTCGAAAGCGTGAATGTATTGTAATCATGAACGCATGTAATGAATTTAAGCACATTTAAAGAAGATGCGCCGAGATATACCAGTTAACTTGTTTCTTTTTTTATTTTTCAGAAAGCATCCTATAAATCGATAGATTTTTCCGATTTTTTCAAATATTTTATCTGTTAACTTCTGATATAATGGTAAGTATGATATGCATCCTTCAAATGAAATATGTTTTACTTTATATAAGATTTGCTGTCGCATTTAGTGATACAACAAGTCAAATGGTCATAGGATCCAATCATTATAATAATAGAGGATTTTTTACATTTTCATTGCAGGTCGCGTCTTCTGACCTCCTTATAAACGTTGAGGTTTTGTCCTCGCTTCAGTTATGCAACGTTGACATAATGTGGCCCGAAGAAGTGACCGACTCAGATGTACAGGTCAGCACTACAAAATCTCAAGTATTGCTGAGTCTCCAGAATGGAACAATAGTGGCCCTTAATTGCCCTAAAAGCGTGCAGTTGAAAAGTGGTGCTCAGATGTGCACCGTTGTAAACAATCGCAGACTGAACATCAGGGTTGCTCTAGATACTAAAGCTTGTCTCCTGCAATCAATCTGCAGTGACTTAGCCAGCGACATAAGATCGCTAAGCTTGAGGACTCCGTACGACGTGTTAGAAAAATGTGAAGTTATCGCCTCGTGTTGTTCTTGTTCCACGCCGGTCACGCAAACTCTGAAATTTGACCGTATCAGGCAGATGCCTGCGTCAGATTGGGCCCATGCTTCAGAGGAATGGTTTTGCTGTGCGCACGGAACTGAAAACGAGGCTCTCAAATCAGAGTCCGTTGCTCCGCGTCAAAACGATTGTTTCTTCTCTGATCTTTTCTTCTTAGTGAAGCAACAGGTTCTCAGTGGTCATGTTCGTTACGACTGTGAAGATAATGCAGTCTGTGGCGGATGTGAAAATGTATTAGGTGTAAAAGTGGCCTCAGATGTTAAACTTTGGACACATCGCGTCCGCTGGGTGAAGGCATCAGATCCAACTTCCGTTGTCTACTATCAATGCGAACAAGATCTCATGGTGACTTTGATCGATCACTTGTCAGCAGATTCATTTGGTGCTAACTCGCGCATTGCGTTTGTGAAGAATAGCAAGCCTAAAACCTACCTGTATTTAGGCGTGATTGACACCAATTTGACGTTACTCACGTCAGCTAATGACAAGAAGCTCTTGCTCAACAGTACACCTGAACAAAGCGCAGGTGACTGCATCAGTCAAGGCAAACGAGGAAGGAGCGATGATGGCACAAAGAGGTCCAGGTCATGTACACTGAGAGACAAGGACGTTCAGGTTCACCTAACAAAACAGAACGTAATCAAAGTCTCTTACAAAATTGTGACAGGTGAGTGTGATGAAACCGAGCGATGGGGAGACGATGTTAACGTTCACATCCTCAACTGCGCCGAGTCTTTCTTTGACGCCGCGCTGGAAGGCATCACAGAGTCTGGCGTCGGTCCGCAACCTGCTATTGCATCCGGGGAGCTCTTCGGTTATATCAAAAGATGAAATTAAAACCGAATAAAACTATAATTATTGATTGTTGATTCTTAATCATATTTAATTAAAAATTGATCATGACCCGGAGAGGCTATACTTATGTTTCATCGAATTTGACCAGTTTAGTTCAGGATTTGATTCAAATTGTTCTTATCAAGTTGATGTGGTATGTGTTAATAATAATAATAATAGCGGTTTCAGCGTTATTAGGCCGTAGGCCTGTCGCCGATTCTTAACATCGCAGAACATTCACAGCATTTTGCGGTCTCGAACTCGCAACTCACTGCTACAATTCTGCTATGCTTAACCGCCCGGCCTCCTTGCCGATTCCGACCAGAAACTGGCTCACATAGCTGGGATCGAACCCGCGCCTCTCTGCGCCAATCTTGGTACTCTGAACTTTAACCACTGGGCTACTCTGAACTCTGTTGGAAAATTTATCTTTTATATAAATAGAACGGAGCGGAATGGAGTCTATTCATACTCATAGATATCAGGAAAGATATGAATGCCGTGTATCTTGGAAGAATTCTTACCTTAACAGCAGTACCTAATGTACGTTGGGGTCATAATCTTTCGAGTTATTTTAAATGTGTACTTACGCAGTAACTTTATAACACTACAGACTGAAATACATGTTCGATATTTACATACGAGATAAATCAAATAATAGCTACAAATTATACACTTATATACATACGACATGGCAGAATGCGAATTACATATGTAGAAGAAGCTATCATCTTCAACAAAAGCGCATAAGAAAAAGTTTGTATTTGGGTAGCATAGCCAAATTTTTAAGTCAATACCTGCAAAAACATCGTTGAACAGTTGGATTATGGCAAGATTGTAGAAATAACGGCAATCTTTCTATTTCCCTACACGTTACGCCCCCGAGAACCTATATTCATAGTTACTAGCATTGTTCGATTTTGAAGAAAAGCTTTTTAAAGGTTGAAAGATTTCCACACATGGGCTTTAGTTTACTGCCGCGCCATGTTTCAAGAGCGTTACTACGCTACTAGAAACTGCAGTGAATGGAGCTAGCAGGTAGCTATCTTTATTCAGAGGGAAAAAGGTATTGCTACATCACACAGAATCACTATTCTATCAATTGCAAGATCTTACGTCAGAATTTCCATTGAGCACGAAGTGATGTACAAGCAGAGGAAGCTATAGAGTAGAGATGCAGAAATTTACACACATGATAGTTTTAAGGCACATTGAGAGAGGGAAATAAGTGAGAGATGATTTGACGTAGCAGTCCCGTAAATAGATAGTTGCAAGACAAAAAAGAAGCAAGGGAAACCAGATCACCTCAAAATTTGCCGACGGTACTTCTTTTGTAAGAACCTAATAATGTACCGTGCGGAACTAAAAACAATGCAGGACACCAAACTACTGCTAAAAGCATGCGCACATAATTATTCCAGTTGGCAATGAATTTGACCATGACAAATTTGACTACACAGATTTCGTGTGCATATAGATCAGGTCGTAATATCCTAACTGGTGGGCTAAAAATGTGATCCATAAGTTCTCTTTTCTGAGCATGATTCTTGATATAGACTAGATCAATTTTTTGACAGAATAGTTTGTAACGATGGTTCAAGTATGATGCAATGCCTACTTACTAACAATCAAATAGTATATGGTCATTACCGTAATTCATGTCCAGCTCAGGCGTCCGCAAAAGTAGTCGCATTTCGAAAGCTAACGATTTCATGGGACATGATTGGACGAATGATCACAAAAATAACATCGAAGGCTCCATACAACATTCATGGATACATATATATAAATTAATTTCCATATGGATCTAAACTCGTTTACTTTAAACGATATTAGTTACTGCAATCAAATTCACCCGTTTTTCAAATCGCAAAAAAATAATAAATGTAATAATTGCGATCGCAATTTCCTTACAAATTTAACATCAGAAGACACTGAATAAAAAAACGTAGTAAAATAATGCACATAATTCGAACAACAGTTAAGTTTAAATTATATATAGAAGTTCGCATCGTAACACTGTGAAAAGCCTATTTCTAGGTAGGAATAGAAAACTATTTGCACTTGTCAACTGTCTTTTCAGCGAGAACGTTCGCCCTAATAAAGAGGTTAGTTTATCACAGTCCGAGCGAACAATACTATTTCATCTAAGTCATTCACGATTAAATTTGCCTGTTTTAATTCCAATGTTACTTTTGGATACTTAATATTTCTGCGTTTTAGAACAAACGAGATACTTTTCATGAACCAAGTGAATGCCAGCGATATAACTTGATTTGACTTCACGAGAAACTATTTGTAGAATTCGATAGGAATTCTATGACTGAAGTAAGATTATCATGTGTTTCAGTAGTATGAAGACACGCTGATGCGATATGCTACTAGTCAACTAGGGCACAAGGAGGAGCTTTGCGTGCAATAGTAGAGGTAGGAAATTGTGATGATGTTGCTAGGCAACGAGGAAACATTGACTTCGGAGAATACAACCGTGCAATAGGTTAAAAAAAACTCGCGTCTTCAGAAGAAGTTAGAACCAACGGCGAGAAAAATCACGACTAACAACGCGGGATAAATAAATTAGTGACGGATTTTCGCTACCGTAACGACTTTAACATTTCATTGCAAGTCTCCTTCACCGTTCTAAAATTCACCACTTTATTTTTTCGAAGGTTAAGATTTACAGCTGTTCATGTCGACAACTAAATTCACTGTTGTTTAATCCCACTGCGTTCAGTTCAATAATGTTCACTGAAAACCGTCCCAAGTTTCATGGAAGTGATGACTTTAGTGAATTAGTTCACTTAGGTTCAGTTCACTGAAGGCCACCCTAGATTCACGGACGCGACAGTTTTTGGCCGAACAAAACGCGCGTCCAGAGGGGCTTGTGTCACTGGCGATGCTGCGGTAGCGAGTTGTTGTTCTCCGGGCAAGACTCGGCAGCCAGCGCCTCCCACCGCGCTCTGTTAGCCTTCACTCCATCTAGCAGAGGCTGCAAGTCCGATGACACCTCCGCCAGATTCTGTACCATTAAAAGTACTTCACTATGATAAAGTTTCATTTCATGTTGCACGTTGATTTCTCAATTTGTTTTTAAAACGGAAATCTTAAATGTGATGCACAATGAACCTTACTATCATAAGTACTTCGCTATGATCAAATCTCATTTCTTGCGAGACGTAAATTTTCCATTTGATTTTTAAAACAACAAACTAAATTGCGATACACGACAAAACTAAAGTAAATTGCGATACGATAGTTGTAGCATACTAACTATATTACGGTAATGTGCTCAATTTCAAATGATAGGACATACCTCATAAACCGGCAGGCAGATGGTGTCGATAAAGTTGACTTGCATGGCAGGCAATTTATCCCGCTTGTCGCGGTTCATCATGTCCTGCACGCAAGGTTATCATTAGACATTAACATCACTCATAAAATACTCTAGAAAATTAGTTTTATGCGCGTGTGTCATGCTACGAAGTGCATTTCTCACTCACAATTGGGGTTATTTTGAGCTTTTCTTTCTCAATGTCGCCCTGCTCGAAGAACTCATTGGCGACAAGTTCGGCGACCTTCTTCTGCACCTCCCAGGGCTTGGTGATGGCAGCGATGTCACAGGCCGTCATCGTCATCGCCCTGAGCTGTGACCTGTGCTCCTCTTTGCACCAGTCGTACTCTCCTGACGAAACAAGTTTGAAGAACTCGGGGCGTTTCCTGGGTAAAAAAATCATTAATGAATGAATTCCTCGTCTCGCTTCCTCGATTATTTTGTATATCACTAAGTATATCGGCGACAGGCCACGACAGGCCTACACTTCAGCGCCGAGATCACTATGTTAAGTGAAACGGTACTAAGTATCGAAGATTGAAGAGAAAGATTATCTTAGGCGTTACGAAAGGCTCTCACTTGAAATAGACAGCGAGGTCTGTAGCTAAAATGGCCTCCTCCAATACAGCAACAATTCTGCTGAACTCTTCGCTCGTACACTGACTCAGGATGCGGTTACCCGACGTGTTGAGGATCATGAGGGACTGGTCGAAGTGGTGATGCTCCATCGTCGAAGTTGAGTACAGCTGCGCTAGCGGCGACGACGCTCTGGTCGAATTGTGAACGGTTAGGACAATGGAAAACAACAGGAAATCGCGTCAAAGATGGGGGGTTTACGTTACAATTAGGTCTTTAAATTTTAGGATGGAGAGACAATACGATTTTCTGATAATAATGAGGCTTTGTTTCATAAGTGGAGAAATGGCAGCTTCTACATGGTAAAACTAAATTTGCAGGCATTTATATAGGCATCACGCTGATTTACAACATAAAGCTAGCAAATTTAAATAGTAAAAAGGACGCGAGCGCTACTTGAAAGCCTAAATCGACTAAAGAACGCTCGATTCCTGATTCACATTTAGATCTTCAGAAAAAAATCCCAACAAGATTCATCAAATCTTATTCGGAAACGTTTCGGAGTCCAGCTAGATCGTCAGCTTGGGAATCCTAAAATATAGGTACAAGCGAGAGAAAAGTACCAAAAAATTTAGCAGGCATAAAACTAAAAATATTTAACGCAGCAAAAAATTCGTCGGAATTGAAATTTCAAAGCCAAATCAAGCTCATGAAGTTTTCTTTACTAAAATTTTTTTACATTTTACTTTCATTTCAGTCATTAGTTTCAAGTGTTTCTGATTGATGATTTGATGGTGTAGCTGGACTCCGAGACATTTTCTACAAACATATGGTGAATTTTTGCGGTATTTTCTTTTATTTATAGTTCTCATTAATTTTTCGAATTAATACGTAGAGTGATTCTAATGCTAAGATCCAGTAAATACAAAAGAAGTGAAATGAACCTGATTTGGAAGGAGTTGTTGGTGCCTCTGTGATCGAGGTCGTGGCAGAGGCAGGCAATTATCAGCGCCACACATTCCATTTCTCCCAACACTTTCCACCACTTCGTCTTCTGTGGGCAGAAAATAAAGTTTAAAGTTTGCAAAATAATGTCCAAACTAAGTAAATAATGTCAAAAATATAAGTAATATGCATTTTTCAGACACGTATACTTAACTTTTAATTGAAAAGTTTCATCTCAAAATGTACGCAACATGGTCGTTAAAGTAGATTTTGTCTCAATTATGTTCAATATTAAAATAAAAATCGCTTATAGGAATCAATGGACCCAAGCTACTTAATCCTGGTGTCTCTGATAGGAAGAAAATACGCATTTGAGATGAAAGCGACCCTCTTTACAATAATGAGGCATGACAACGAGAGTAGCATAGGCAATACAAATAGAATAATTCATGCCAAGGATGAAATTGAATAATCATCGATAATAATAAACTCAATCTCGTACCTTTTAAATCAGTGTCCAAACTTGACATTGATTTAAGGATGAACCAATAATTGCGTGACCTCATACATTCCAGTAATTAAAAATACGTCAATCCAGTTATTGAAATATACGTTATTACACTAATCACAAATTTATGTCATTCTAGTCATTAAAAATACGTCATTTCAGTCATTGAAATATACGTTATTTCAGTAATTAAAAATTTATGTCATTCCAGTCATTAAAAATACGTCATTTCTGTCATTTAAATATACGTTATTTCAGTAATTACAAATTTATGTCATTCCAGTCATTAAAAATACGCATTTCAGTCATTGAAATATATGCTATATCTGTAATTACTGATTGATGTCATTCCAGTCATTAAAAATACTTAATTTCAGTCATTGAAATATACGTTATTTCATTAACAACACATTTATGTCATTCCAATCCTTAAGAATGTCATACGTTATTTCAGTCATTGAAATATACCGTATTACAGTAATTACAAATTTATGTCATTCCAGTCATTAAAAACATACATAATGTGCACGGTACTTACGGTCAAGATAACGAACATCATCTGGGCGACGTTGAATGCATGTCTCCAGTTGTGGTAGGTGACGTCCCTGTAGTTCTTCTTGACGCTCAGCAGCCAGCGGCACAGCACGAGTTCATCAATGTGGAAACGCTGGATCAGGTCCAAGTCCGTGAACATCCTTAAACACGCCTGCGCATCGTAATATTTAAGCGGCTCAGGTTAAAATGTCACTAATAGCCAGAGCTGGGCAGCGCTACTTTGAAATGTAGCGGCCGCTACCGCTACCGCTACATGCTCTAAATGTAGCGGCCGCTACCGCTACCGCTACATGCTCTAAATGTAGCGGGCGCTACCGCTACCGCTACATGCTCTAAATGTAGCGGGCGCTACCGCTACCGCTACATCCACTAGATTGTAGCGGGCGCTACCGCTACCGCTACAGTAAAATGTATCGCCGGTACATTAGCCGCTACAATGGCCAAAATTATTGGAAATCTCTAAATATTTATTGTTCTGCTATTGGGATTTACTCATAAACATTTAATGATAATAAAACATTTTTATAACATATCAATGCAACTTTATTGCAATTAACTTAACCGAACTAGTACGGGTTAGATACAGTAAATAAAAGTTAGTTATTTTATATTTTACCTTCCCTACATGGATGTCTACTTTAAACTACCAATCTCAAAAATTATCCACATATACATATAAAAAATATAACTCGGTACTCACTGCAGTGAGTGACAGAGAGCGCATTTTCTCGTCGACGAAAACATGAAGTCACGGACGGACAGACAGACGGACATGGCGAGCACAATAGTGTATTTTTTTCATAAATGAGAAAATGCGCTAAAAATCAGTCTTTTGTTTGTATATATATGTGGATTATTTTTGAGATTGGTAGATTAAAGTAGACATCCATGTAGGGAAGGTGAAACATAGAATTAACTGTGTGAAAATAACTGTAAGCAAACTGAAACATGAAAAAATACCTGTAAGTGGTAACTGGTCACAACTTAACAAGTAACAACTAACATGTTGACACTAGGAACAGGCTGAGGTTGACAACATTACACCGAAATCTTTCGTAGTTTTATTCTTAATTTATATTATGTATGTAATATGCTGATTTTTAAATAATATTTAATACTATTAAGTAAAATCTGAAGGCTTTATCTATAAATGTAACGGTAGCGCTGTAGCGGCAAAACCTCGTGTCGCTACTTAAATATGTAGCGGGCGCTACCGCTACATTGCCTTAAATGTAGCGCCGCTACCGAAAATGTAGCGCGCTACTGCCCACCTCTGCTAATAGCCTTTAATCGCCTGAAATATTACATCAACACTTATAACATATAAGGTACCTATACAACATACAAGGTATACAACATATAAGGTATATGCTTTTAAGTTGCAGCGCTCGAAAAATTTGATAAATTGAGCAGTATGGGTGCTGAATAGTTTTTACGATTTAAATCAAGACGAAAATAAACTTATAGGCCAGGAACATTGTTACAAAAAATCCAGGATAAACTTCAAAACCCAATAACACGTTGAATTGTCCCGCAGCATATAAATAAAAATTGATACCGTTAGAGTATCAAAATATGTGAAAATGAAGTTCTAATTGTTTACAGTGGAAAATTTGTGCTTTCAAACTTAAGTAAATCCTATCACTGGGATAGACTGCAATCATTTCTGTTGACGATGCATGTTATAAGAGTCATTAAATGCGTTCTATCTTAGAACTTCGACTACATATTGAATCAGGATATTGACAAGGACCAACATCACTGGTTGCTTTGCGGATAATCGTTAATGAGATAACTAATGAAAAAATGACATAAGGAATTAAAAAATAATAAATAATGTTGATACCTTGAGCGTGCCGTCGTCGTCGAGAGAGAAGTCGTCAAACTTGAAGTCATGTAGCCGCAACACCGACGCTGGAGGTACTTTGCAGGCCTGTGTCAAATTAGAAAATATGATCAGAAAAATGATTGAAAATTAACTATTATTTGAAATCATAGTACGTATTTATCAAACAAGAAATAACTTAGAGTGAACTCTAACAAAAAAGAGCTGTGTGCTGAAGAATGGTTTTAAACTGTATAGTGGTTTTGGTAACTATACCGGATTAAGGCATACGGTATAATACATATAGTTCTGTCATAAATAACAGGAAAACAAATGACATTATGATGAAGATACCCTTCATTAGCAATCTTAACCTAGACAATCAATGAGAGATAATATTTTACAAGTGAAAAATTAATTACATAAAGGTGAATAAGCCTGCGTCTTCTACAACCATGATCTCAGAACAGCAAAACTCCACGGGTTTTACTCTCAATATTTTATTAACTTGCAATGACATGCTGACCTTTTTCATAATTCGTATTCGAGAGATAATATTGTTCGGAGATTTATTAATTAAGTAATAATTTCATAGATTGAATAATTAACTAATAACTTTTAATATATATTATTAATTAAAAATAATTAATTTTAATTAATCGGATGCCAAAATCAAAACTAGCACTCAAGTTTCTACTTGATTCCAACTAAATATCCAAGCAACACATTTCATTTTGGTGAATGTGAATGCAAATGGAAATACTATGGTTTTGAGAGTGACGTTGAGGAACGGAAAATCAAACAACCACTGTCGGTCGACAATAAAAACTCACAAGTAAAACTACAAAATATGCATTAATGAATTTTTCAGTAAAACTGAATGAGTTCAAGTTTAATTACTTTGTAAAATTGAACCTACATCCCGCAAGGAGCATTTATAATTTGTTACATAGAAATTCTAACAAGACAATGTAAAACCAAAGCTCGTTTCCAAAAGCTACCAACATTACTAAAGCCCCTTGAAATAAAAGGTAATAAACTATTGCAAGGATCCTCGTTTATAGTGTCCTTAACATTTATCGTCCATTCTTTACGAAGCGCTCCATAAAATAAGCGCTGACTTTTCATGAAGCTAAGGGCAGATCATTTTTCTTCTGGCGCTTTATAAGAGGAGAGTTTCGCTGCCCAGAAGCCGCGCTAAAATAACCAAGCTGCTCTCAAAATACAAAATTTAAACGAGAGTTATTAAATGCTCCCAGTTGCGTCGTGACTTCCTTACTTCGATTATTTTCTTCTTAAAATATATGAAGAACTTGTGACTTTCTCCTTTAGTCGGCGCAAAAAAAACATGTCAAACACGGCGCAGTCTATAATCATTGAAGTCTACTTTAAAATCACAAAGGATTCAAATTCAAAATATTCCAGTACGTATGAATCACATTCAAACGAACACATCACTATATACCCACAGCAAAATTAGAACGACTCCGATACCTTAACAAATCTGAAGAACACCAGTGCCGGAGGGACTGTATGGTTAGCTTGGCCTCGTTGCCCCCACCTTGAGCGTAACGATCATGGACAGTTATATAAATTACCTGCAATTATTCTTGATAAAACAGTCGTTGGTGTAAATGACGTCGCCCTACCTTGAGCTCCAACGCTAACTCCTTGGACGCCGTGGCGTGGTAGCTCAGCACGTCGAGCGTCACGTTCTGTTTAGCGATCGCCGTCATCGCCTTCTCGTACCTGCCATACACATGATAACGGTAACTAATAAGGAACGTGGACTATTGGATCACAAGCAATTATCACCACATATTAAAGCTGTTCATAAGAATAGCTTTTCCTACAAATATCTTCAGCTTCACATGTTGTCATTCACTATTAGAATATATGTTAACTATTTTCAAATTTAACGACCTGACAATTAAAGAAATTGTAATTAGGCTGAAGAAAGAACGTCGATTAGTTGGAGTAAATGATAACTCAAAAATAAAAAAAGTCCTCACATGTGGGTGTTGTGGAGCCCCATGCCACAAAAGATGGCGAAAGCTTCCAAAAAGTTCTCATCGTTTTTGGTGAAGGCGAGATTATCGAACTTATTGATGAGCTGCACAACGCCCAAGATCTTGCCGGAAGTGTTGCGGATCGCTTGGCATAAAATCGACCGGTGCCGGAAATTCGTGCCTTTGTCTGTCTCCTGGTCGAAGCGCTCGTCCGCGTACGCGTCGGGGATGTTTATGGTCTGCTCGGGGAAAACAATCATCATCCGAAAGCCCAAGTGGACCGCAAAGTTTGCGTAGAACCTTCAAACACTTGTTTTTGGGGCCGTACTATCGAAACTTGCTTAAGGACACGTAATAGCCTAACTACACTTATCGGCTAAAGTACACGTAGCGGCACAAGTGTTAGTAGCGGCCTATTTCTCGTCTATGATCGGTGAGTTTACCCTGAAAAGCCGTCCGTGATAAGCTGACGGAGTAAGAACTCATAACTATTTCTGATAGTACAGCCCCAGGATGGCTAAACGGAACTTCAACAACTTTTTGCTTCCAGATTATGATTGATAGAAATAATAGAGACAATGATCAAACTTGAGACGCACCTGCCCGGTGTTAGCGACAAGGCCCGTGATACCGATGTTGATAGGGAAGCGCCACTCGTAGGGGCTGGTGCGAGTCTCCGCGTCCTCCGCCTCCATGTCGTTAACTTCCAAGTCGAACACGCGCGAAAACGAGTGCCGCTCGTCAGTCAACAAAATCTGGCACAGGTGTGCGTATATCAAAGAGAGAAGCTCCAATGTTAGATTAAAATAACGCACAACATTCAGTAACCTAGCATGTAGAAATAAATTTCCTTGGTATAAAAGAGAACCTGAACCATTAATGAAAGTCATGAAAATATCCTTGGCATCAATTAGAGATTGATCATGCGTAAGCAGATAATGCATATAATGATAATACGTATGTTGGATCAACAATAAATAGGATATGTAGCAAGCCTCACTTGTACTCTGACGCACTGCAGAAGGCTCTGCATGTGGATCATGATCCGATACACCATTTGCTCGATTGTACTCTGCTCCTCGAAGATGATTCGCGCCAAGTCAAGTAAAACCTGTTGAAAGATGCAAATAACAGAGAACTATTATTAAACAAGAAGAAAAATTAGGCTAAACTGAAGTACAACGATTCATGGTACATGATAGTTTCGGGCGGATATAATCATACCGAAATTATTAAAATATGGTAAAATCTTATAACAAATGAAAATTATCACGCGTTTAGAAACGATTTTCCAAAGATGAGCAGGTTCACGATCTTACTTGGTTTCTTTTGACTTCAAGTTGTGAGCGTTCGTAGAGCTGAGCGTTCTTGATGCTGATGCCGCAGAACTGGAGGTAAGACTCGAAAACTTTCTCATCGGCATGAGTGAAACAACTGCCATCCTTTTTGTTGATCACCTGAGAACATGGCATCAATTGATAACAAAATTGAATCTAAAAATTGACAAGCGTAAGTATCAAAATCGAAATTGTTGGTCAGTTACAAAAGCTAGAGTCGTGCATGGAAAACCCGGCATAAACGACGAATCAAGTCAACTGCGTGAAAGAGTATTTGGTGACTTAATTTTTCAGTTATTTGATTTATGTCTTGAAAGAGTTCACGGGAGGGTGAAGGTCGTACCGAATAGAATACAAAATAAAGTAGGCAAGAACTTATAAGCAAAAAAAGCCCACTGATAGCGACTATTCTCATAAGTTCGCACAATTCGCATATGCTCGCTACGAGCACGTGCTTTTCTTCACAGTAAAGCATGAATGCGACGTTGCTTACACTCTCATCGAATAAAGTTTATTTAAAATAAATAAGTGTAAAACAAAAAAATTGTATTCAACTTTTTCAATCTTAATGGATAACGTAGTAGCGAGCAAGCTGCATTGAATTTCAAATTTGTAATCAAATGTGCAGAACGTTCAGATTCGTCAATAATAAAATCCTGGGATCTCCCATGAATTATAAGTATAACAAATATATAGTAACTTTCTGCCTATGTAAAGAAAATATTTTCTATGGTATCATTATTGGTAGTGTGTATTATAGTAGTAAAATACCATAAACATATTATAGCATGGCTAAGTTTATTATAACTTAGTAATGCTGACCTGAGCTACACCGATGACCTCGTATAGCTCGAGTCTATAATAATATTATAGTAGTAAAATACTATACAACATAGCATAGTATGGCTAAGTATATTATAACTTGTAATGCTCACCTGAGCTACGCCGATGACCTCGTAGCTCGAGTCTATGATGGGCATACAGAGCAGAGACCGCGTCTTGTAGCCTGTCATGGCGTCGACGTCGTGGTTGAAACGCGCGTCCTAATTTATCAATTTCGAAACCATGATTAAATTGTGCAAAATAATATTTAAAAATTTAGTCAATTACTAAGAAAAGAAAATTTAGGATTTATTGAAGTCATAAAGTGAAAGTTGTGCATACAAAATAAGACAACTACTTGGTGGTTGGACTGTAATTCCTAAAAATAAATTTTAAAATATCACAGTAAAATAATACGATAAAATCTTTTATAAAAATCAGTCAATTTCGCGGAAAGGGAAATCTACGATTTATTGAAGTTTATTGCTATCAAGTAGAAATTGTAGATAATTATCCAAGCTAAGAGCAACATTTATCAATGAAAAAACACAACAAGACGCATTCTCCAAAAATGTCTTTAAAGTTGAAATGCACTAACAAACTTGAAATGCAATAATTTTCAATGGGTTTAAAGTATTGACTTGTAATTGTAAAGGAGTAATTTTTTATTTTTGTTAGTGCAATGCTTAAACGGTATAATTTAATTTATATATAAATTTACACAATAATCATCTAAAAACAACGTTAAAAAACGATAAAACGCTTCAAATTTAACGATGATCATATTATAGAATTCATTGAACATCGTTCAATGAGTTTTATACTATGATCATCGATAAAACCCCTTTAAAAACTTAATAATGTTATTCTGAAATGTGGACAGTAAGAAAAACAAATTAAATCTTAGATCACAAATTTCAGAATGGATTGTCGGCTAGGATGACGAGCTCCTGGCAACCACTAGTCTATAATAAACCAAGTGTTTAGGTAGAAATATTGTGAGTAGGGCTGCGAAATGCATGCATGCCAACTGGCGCTATCGTCGGAGCATCCAAAAAGTATTTTTTTTTTTTAAAGAAAGGCCTGAGCACTGCAGAGTCTGGCGCCCGAGAGAACGCTAGGTTCCAGCCAGCGATGTTTACACAGTAAACTTGTGAGGCGTGTTTGTGGTCTTTATTGGCGACGGTGACCACAAAGATCTTGAGTCTCGGCAGTTCAATACAGCTGAGCGTACTGTGCTTACTGCCTAGTATTGTTTACTTCAAACAATGAAGATTTTGATCTCTAATCATTGAACGAGATCTTACAAAATCAACAAGAGATCAGGCATGAGCTAATTTATAAATATGACAATACAAATTTTTAAGAATGTGAATTCGGGCTACATTAATAAATATTTAGATGTAAAAATTGTCTATTCTCAGCCAAACTCATTGATAGTCTCGGGTACGTTTAACGACTAATATGCGTACACGAAAACTAGTTTCAACGAATGCGTTCACTTCTACTGAAGTCGCAACCTGACATACGATGCAAGTTTAAAACATGCGTATGAAAAAACTTCTGGTCGACAAATGCATTCATTTTCATTTTTCAGTGATCAGAAAACCTGATTTGCGAAGCATAATTTTACAAGAAGCATGAAAATAAATTAAAAACATAAAATTAACAAAGGCATTCACTTCAGGAGATCAAGTAACTTGATATGCGTTTGAAAAGCTTACAGGCATGCGCTTGAATACCCGTCGGTTCCACAGATGCATTAATTTCCAGTCATCAAGTAACCTGGTCGGATAAGTTGACTATAAGCATGAATTTGAAAAGACCATTAGATCAACGAATGGAATTCTTAATTTATTTATTATTTTTATTCCATTAACCTGATATGCGTCGGGTATGTTGAGCATGGCGCCGGTCTCGCCGACGTATCCTATGATGCCGCTGCCCCAGGGTATCCTGATCTCCTCCTTCTCGTGCATCTCCTCGACCGTCGAGTCCGGGCTCACGTCGAACAGCGTCGACACCAGGCACCGGTTAGGGGAATCCTGACGAAGGACGCGAGAAATATCCTTCATTTTTAGCAATAATTCAATAGCAGTTAAATAATATGGCAAAAATTACCAAGAATCTAATAGATGTTTTCAACGTCTTTATTATTCAATTCTTCAAAAAAAGAATTTTCACAACTTGATGTAAAACAATAAAAAATTTCATAAAAATTCGCATGGATCTATATAATTTCTTGATCGGAAAAAAGGGGTTTGCAGAGGCAAAACAATAACGGAAGGTCAGAATGGGGAAAAAATGCTGAAAATATGCGGGGTTCAATAATTGTTGATTCTGCGAGAATCATTTCAAAGCTGATCTTTGGTAGCAAGTTTACAAGAAAAAGACTGTTTAACAACAACTGTGCACACGACACATTTAAATTGATTTTTTTGCGAGTTAATTTTTTTGAATGTGTATTTTTGAACATGACTAACGTTTAGACGTTCAAAGAAATATAATTGTATTTCTCACCTTTTCGCCCTGCACCAGGAACAGTGAGCAGCGATCTGCTCTGGTTAAAATAGAGACGTTCTGCAAGATTTTATGGCACAGCGACCGTATGTCCAGCTCGTTGAATATGTCTTTAACCAACATGAAGATGAGTTCCCGCTCGTCCAGGCCTTTGAGCTCAGGTCGTGACTTGCGGCGCACCTAAACATAAAAAATGGCATGATTGATATTTGATACTGACAAAAAATCTAGTTTTCATAAAAATTAATCTTGCACATTCTGGTCGTAGCTCGTGATGCGGGAAAATTTCACCTCGTGTTGAGGTGAAAAAAAAACAACGTATAATGACATTTTCTCAGGCGAAAATTTCATCCAATCAAACAAATCAGTTTTTAGGCGAGAATTAAAACAATTTATTTTGTATTCGTGCGTTCATCGCGAAGAAAGCGAGAGCTGCAAAGAAAGCCGGACCCATAAAAACAACGCGGCGGGCGCGGTTTTCATGTTCGAAGTAAAAAGAAAACAATTTCCTGAGAGGTTCGATAGCTGCAAAAAATACGAGTCCAATAAATTACCGAGGCCAGCTCGAGCAGACAGCTGATGTCAGAATCATTTCTCTTATTTTTTATGCCCGTTCAACAGTCGGGTATCAGCAGAGAGAAGACTGAAAAATAGCAATGTTTTGATAAGATATAAGACCATTTCATTGGCGCATCCGGGGCTGAAACGTTCCCCTCACGATGTTGTTCTTTGAAGAAGAAAAACGAATAGAGCTTTTTTTATAGGGAACAGTTGATACTGGAAACTATGAAAAATAATTCAATTATATTTTTTGAAATGAATCTTTTGCATAACAAGTAAAGCAGAAAATTCAGGTATAACAACCTTCAAGCTGGAAGAAAAGTAACTAATTCCCAGATAATGCAAATAGACACGTGTAAGAATTTGATTCCATAAATCTTGAAGGGTAGTGCAATAGTAAGTAAAATCCCGTAAATGGGCTCGAATAATTATTTGTAGTAGAATCAACGGCAGCCAATCGAAAGTATACATAATCCGGTTGTTCTCCTTCACTTGCCATTGCATGAAAACTCATGCGAATGTCCTAAAATCTTAATTGAAGTATCCTAAAAAATCGTATCCGACAACAAAACGGCTCGACGCTGCACTGACATCCATTAGATTGCGCGATACTGTAGCAGGCGAATCTCCTGTCGTACTGAGACTCTCGCTTGTTGCCCAAGCAGGACAGAAATAGAACCGCTCGTCTGGACCCTTTTTATTATTCAGTGCCGCTTCTATTTTTCATCGGCAGCCCCCAGCAACACATCCCTCCCCGTTGCAGACCGAGCAGAATGATTGCGTCAACATAGGAACTTCGAGACGGTATCGCGACCAACTTCTCACGAGCGAGACAAGAATATCTCGAGGTACTCAACACTGAATATGTTCGTATACTAAATGAAAATGGCTTCTTCAGAATTATGCTATGCTATTCAAATAGTTTAAATCACGAAGATTTGAAAACAGAATTATGTAACAACTACTAAATGGCTATTTAAATAGTTTAAATCATGGTGTTTTGGTAACATTCAACCGCTAATAAATTTAAAATTCGGATCATTTTCTCTTTAAAATTTTACGACAGCGAATTTTTGTGCAAGGTAAACGACCAACTAATGTCACGTTTTGAAAGCAGCGAAAGAGACGTTCTCTGTAGGACCTAAGTAGAGTAGCCAGCTACATGCGCTTGGTGAAACTTCATGAGCTCATACATGATGCTAATTCATTTTTCATCCTCGGTATACGAACTGCCGTGATATGTGGAAAAGTTCGAATAAATCAAGTCATAGCCAAGTGGATTTTTAATAAAGCTTTTAGCGCTTTAATCCATGATTAATTTCTCAGTTAAGAACCCAAAGCAATTTCTACTTATCACCCTAAATTTTCTGTAGGAATTGTTTACATTAAAAGGACGTAAAATAATTACGCATAGAGTTCCAACAAATGAGATCTTTGATTGCATTCAATGAACGAAAAATATATTTGAAGCCCGTCACACAAATATTGTAATCATCGTACAAGAAAATTATGGGTAATTCTTAATGCAGAAAGGCAAGCAGACCAACCTTGTGCATGAGGGCAAGATGATGGTCATGGGGAGATGGTGAGAGGAAGGTGGGAGTGCCGTCGATGGTCGTCACGATGGGCTTCACCAGACCTCCTTTCTCGAACTCATGGGCGGATATTTTGCGTACAGGCGTGGTGGCGCCTGATGCGTACAGGTCATTTAAATTAATGTACAGGAGTGGTGGCACCTGAAGCGTACAATTCATTTAAATTAATGTACAGGCGTGGTGGCACCTGAAGCGTACAGGTCATTTAAATTACTGTACAGGAGTGGTGGCACCTGAAGCGTACAATTCATTTAAATTAATGTACAGGCGTGGTGGCACCTGAAGCGTACAGGTCATTTAAATTAATGTACAGGAGTCGTGGCACCTGAAGCGTATACTATAGTACATTTAAGTTATAGATAACTGCGTGTAAAGGCACTGCAGTGCAACGAAGTCGTACAAGTTTATAGCAACACTTGATACTATGCACACTTGCACAGCACAGTGAGCTCTCTAGCGCAAGTTTCAACCAAGGAAATATTGCAGTTAAATTTGAATTTAACATCTTGGATCCGGCACAGCGTAACACAGAAGTACCAGTTTAGAGTATTTAAAGCCACACGAGGCGTTCACAGGGATAGCGCCTAGCGTTCGTATCATGGAGTTCAGCGTTGGCATGAATAGCGCGTGCTCCCATAGTGCCCCTTTGGTTAAAGTTACCCTGACACCCGAGGTCGGAAAACTGACTCTTACACGCGCTGGGGAACTGCTTCTTGGCCAAGCCGTTACTCACGCGCTACTTTCTTTCCCGAGTACCAACTTAAAAAAATACACAGATAAATCTAATACAAGAAAAATTTATCCGAATTTTTAAAAATCAATAAAAATGAACATTTTTTAAGGCCACTATTTAGCGTCTAATGAATAGAATAAAAAATCTACTGGGAAGATTTCGTTCCCTAATTCAGCGCAGCTCTCATTCAAATGTTTTCAATAACCCATAATTAAATAAAATTTTATTCAGTACATCTTCGATCTGGAGGTAATCAACACCAATGGAAGACTCGCGTACCTACTCAAAGCATCTATTTTAAATTAGAACGATTTTTCCAAAATCGATACCGCTAATAGTTTCAACACAACAAAAGAGCTACTAATAAAATTAGGATGACAAAATACTGATATTGATCAATACATGAACAATATAGTTATTTGCCGGGCGAAACAAGATCTGCGCAGGAATAATATACGTACGATTGTATCACTATTTGAACAATTTTTTAATTACTTCCCTGAGTGCTTTGAACAACCCACTAAGCAAATAACCCAAAAGCAATGTTGACTGAACGGAAAAAACATCGGATTCAAGTTGATTCAACCAAACATTTAATTTACATTGATTCAACGAAACGCTTATTTCACGTTGATTACATAAAACAACATTTAATTCACGTTCGTTTAAGAAAACATCATTTAATTAACATTGATTACATGGAGCCATATTTTATTCGCGTTGATTCAACAAAACATTTAATTCACTTTGATTACACTAAACATCATTTAATTTATGATCATTAAAACACCACTTAATTGAACAAAACAACATTTAATTCAACGCTGAATATAACATTCACTTCAATGTCAGTTAGTAAAAGCTGAATAATCATCAGACCTGACGATGCCTTGGAGCCCTGAGCAGCAGCAGCAGCGCCGTCAGAGGCGGGGGGCGCGGCGCCCTCAGAAGAGGACAGCGCCTGAGCGATGTGCTGCGGCAGGGCGTGCGACACTAGCCAGGAGTCCACCATGTGACGCGATGCTTTCCTGCGTCAATATATCAATGAATGTAAATATTATAAATATTCTTGAGAGCATCACTTAAATTTGGGCTAGATCCTGAATATTACTACTTAGTACTAACATTCTGCGCGACGCTTTCCTGCATGAATATAACAACGAATGAAACGATTAGAAATATTTTTGAAGTTATCACTTAAATTTGGGCTAGATCCTGAATATTACTACCTATTACTACCATTTTTCGCGATGATTTCCTGCATGAAAATAGCAACGAATGCACCTATTTTACATGTATATCAACAATGGAACATTAACAATGCAGAAATATTTTTTACGGTAAAAGATGGAGGATCGGCAATATTATTTAAATTATCGATATTATTATGCTTAGTATTACTAGAATTTGTATAGAATATTTTGACTTTATACTGCATTAGTTATTTGTAACACTACGTCGGCTGCACAATATCATCAAATCAGCTGCACGCAATATCATTACACTTAGGTTTAATTGATTTCAGTAAGTAATTTGATAGTTTGTTGCTCCCATTTTCGTCCTGAGGAATTTACATTGAAATAAAAACGCAAAAGAAGTCCCGCTTTCAATTTAACCAGATGAATCATTAGAAAAAGATCGCGCACTTCAAATTAATTATTTATTGTCTCAAACTCGGAATTATATACCGTATATATGAGCGCAAGTGAACAGCTTTATGACCCTACAATGCGATACATTCTCAAGATTATGACAACACATCAACAATTGATCAATTACCAGCATTATCTAGAGAAAACAAGTAGACCTTAACGGTATTATATCAAATTACAGGACGTAAGCATTCTGCGCAGGACTCTGGTATGGTCTACAGCTATTCTTGAAACGCCTTTATCTTGCTGTTAACAGAAGTAAGTATTCGAGCACCACATCATCAGATATAAGCTGTGTAAGCTGCATATTGCGGAACCTAGTGTTGGGCATTAACATCAAACCGTGACGACCTAGAAATGAAACGCCAAACCATCTGCCATCAACGGTTTGCGTTGCCAAAAATTTTGAAATCAGAAACATATCCTACAAGGTATTCCAGCGAGAAATCAGGCTGCGTACCTGATAAAGTAATCCTGCGCGAAGTCAGGCTGCGTACCTGATAAAGTAATCCTGCGCGAAGTCAGGGTGTTCATCGAGCCAGGCTTCGATCTTTGTATATTCTGGGTCACACGGACTGGGCGGTTGCCTTGCCCCGACGCCCGGACTCACTGCGCCTGCAAAATGGAAGGACACTGCACAATTAAGTATTTTTATTGAAGTTCACAATACGTAATACTGCGCAAAACGCATGGACACTGCACAATGAAGTATTTTTATTGGAGTTCAAAAGAGTAAAGACTGCTTAAAACGAACAGACATTGCATAATAAAGTATTCTTATCGCTGTTCACAAGATGTAATACTGTGCAAAATGCATGGGCAATGCTTGGACAATAAAGTGTTCTGGTCGCAGTTTGCAAGATGCGATACTGCGTAAAACACATGGACACTGCACAATCAAGTATTCTCATCTCAGTTCACAAGACGTAATACTGTACAAAACGCATTAACACTGCACAATAAAGTATTCTCATCTCAGTTCACAAGACGTAATACTGTACAAAACGCATTAACACTGCACAATAAAGTATTCTCATCTCAGTTCACAAGACGTAATACTGTACAAAACGCATTAACACTGCACAATAAAGTATTCTCATCTCAGTTCACAAGACGTAATACTGCGCAAAACGCCTAATACTGCACAATAAAGTAATTTTATCTGAGTTCACACGATGGAATACTGCGCATCCTGCACGTTCGATTATTTCGTCGGGGCGAGCAAAGGAAGCTTATACATTAAACATGAAAATCCGATGTGAGTTTTCCTGAACATACCACACGCAGAAGCCCCACTCATTAATTATAAACTGAAATCCGAGCTTACAAGAATACGTAGCAGAGCAAATATTAATATTGCTTCACAAGGAATCTGCATTTGAACTTACCACCACCAACAGAAATATAAATGAAAATATAAAACTAAACCGCGCTTCGATAACTTTGTCACAACACGCACGTTTCGGAATCAGGGTAAAACATAGTGCCAAGTAACAGTAAAGATTTTGAAAAAAAATCAAAAATAAAATTTAAAAAAATTAATCAAAATTAATTAAAAATTTGATTGTGCAAAAAATAATTGAGTGTAACGCGCACTCCCGTGTTACAAACTCAATATTAATGCATGGAAACGTTCGTGATGGAACAAAAAATTAATCTCAACGAAAACCTGCACGATAACAGACTCATCAGTCTTTAGCACGCCGTTTGAACAAAAATTCAATTCTAATTATGCTTTAAATTTATTGAACTCATTTACGAATATGTCTTCTTAATCTCTTAACTTCATAAATAAATCTTTAACTTGTGTGTAAATTTGAGCAAATAATAACCGTAATTTAACATAAACATGGCAATAATATTACATTGAAATGGATTTAATAACAAAGTCTGACACCATTCTTCCCGATTTAAAGAGACCTCAAAGAATGGGCCATGTTCTCGGAATAGTAACACTCCTTAACCACAGCAAGACAAGAGAGCAGATGTAGCACTGATACACCCTTTTGTCGGGTCAAACTAGGTAACGATGACCCACACAAGGGCAAAAAGTGTTTCACGATTTAGACAAAAACATTCATTTCTCTGACTTGGTATCCTTGATACCAATTCAGAGAAATGAATGTTCAAGTTAAGCCTCCTTCTGCCACTAACCTGCATCTCGTCGCCGGGTCTCGTGAGGGGCGCGCGTGTTGCGCTCGCCGCCCCCTGCAGGCAGCGGGACTTCAGGCGACGAGTTGCTGCGGTCATCACCAGGACCGCCTGAGTCGTCCGTTGCACCCTTGCCGTCACCGTGCTGGCCTTTCCAGCCTGGGGCACACAAAACAAACACAAATTAGTTAGTTCTTGCATTACCAGGTGCCATTAAATAATATTCAGATTTGTAGATTTGTCGTCTACATTTGCCTGGGTCATCCGTCGCGTCGTCGTGCTGGCCGGCATTCCCAGCCTGGGGCAGACAAAAGAATACATGTCATCAGTGCTAATAATGTCATTATTTTCAGCCTGGAGCAACCCAAAAATATAACAATCAGTTATTTTTTGTATTTCCTGATGCGACTAAATAATATGAAATTCATAGATTTGTCTAGGAGCATTTATCGTCAAAATTTTTTTCTGATGAAAAATATCATCGCCAAATGGTTCACCTGTTTACGAGTATTATTACTGACATTAGTGCTGATGACGTAATAAGCGCTAATAATGCCATTAATTAAAGCCTGCACAGATGTACGGAAAAAATATAGCTATACATTCTTGTGTATCAATTATGTCTTACTATAAAATGGGATCGAATTATTAGAACACTCGTCTGAAGCACCAACTGAACGACACTGCGCACGAGTAATGCCTAATTATTTTTAATTGAGAATACTGACTGTAGTTCAGCTACCTCTCCGGCTCCACTGTGTTCAAAGAAAACCATTGCGCGATTCCATGCATAATTGTTTAATCTTAAAATTCACCAATAAATAACTAATCAACATACGGATATCAGGTTAGCTCATTCCAATTTTGAATAAATTAGAACAGAAGAAACTAATTTAGTTCGATATAAATTACTAGACTGAAATAAAATACTTAAAATAAATACTTGAGGCTAAATCTAGCGACGTACATAGACGGTCGGTTCTCACTTCCAAGTACCGGTATACATTGTCAGGTGACGGTAACGAAGCAAGCAATTCGTGCGAGCATAACAGTGATGAGACAACGTGAGAGCAGCGGCTCACAAACACACATTAGCCCGCCGCCTTCCCCTCCTGCACCTGCGAGCTTTAAAAGCACCAGTCATTAGGACGTGGTAATTAGTGAGCGGGCGATGCAGCGAGCAATAGACGGATGTAAAACGCCTGGTTTGGGATAATTCTTGTCTTGACATAAATAACCATTGGTTCGGTTTGCGGTCGTTAGATGAATTAGAGACAATTTTGAGGAGATTACAGTAGCTTACTTAATTACATTTCCAATGAAATTTATCGCTACCATTAGTGAACCTCGTGACAACCCTTCTTCAATAGGCTGCTCTTGCGTGCTCTCACTCAATCGAAACCGTACGATTCTCTTCATGAATTGCTTCTACGTAAGCCACGCTTGTTTTTTTATATGTGTCTGTACTATCAAAAACAGTAATGAGTTCGACAGACAATCACTGACGGCTTGATACGATAAAGTAACTAATTGTACAAAAATCGGCCGCTACGTGTGCTTAGGCCGCTATATACATGTACTTTGACAGCTACGTGTACTTAAAACAGGTTCTGATAGTACGGGCTACGGCCCAGGATAATTTTTTTTCATGATGAAATATGCCCTCGGGTGTAAAGGGTTACGATATTGAGCTCACAAAAATAAAGAAAAAAGACATGAAATATCCAGTCGTGCTCCATTGACGCCACCGTCGATATCTTCGTGGGCATCGATGTAGGCGACCATGACTAAAGAAGAAGGACGACCGAGCGCGGCAGTCAGCTGACATCAGGCTATACATCGCTGATACAGGCGGTCGATTGCCGGATATTCAACGACGAATGGAAGAATAACGCTTTCGAAGCTCATTGTTAAGAATAAAGAGGAAATAAACGTCGAACATTTATAAGATATAAAGCTTTTTATTTACGCTGTAAAAGCCCATGAGGCGTAAAGAAACCGTATTGACAATGCACTGCAGTTCAGCGGCGTTGCACCTCGCTAACTCCTAAGAATTGGCTTTAAAAATTGTTCATCAACCGACCCAAGGAAATGAGGGGATTGAGATACACAGAAAAGGCTCATAAAATTTTCTCCGGGGCCAAGGGGGCGGCGTCGGGCATACACAGTATAGCTCCCAGCACCAGTTTCGGGCACAAGCTCGATAGAAATGTACGGGACAATCTTATAAAATCACTCGATGGAAATGTATGGGACTACCTTATAAAACTACTTAATAAAAATAATGTATGGGACAATCTTATAAAATCACTCAATGAAAATGGATGGGACTACCTTAAAAGTTTAATAAAAATGTATGGGACAGTTTTATAAAATAACTCAATGGAAATGTACGAAGGAATCATGTAGATAAAATAGAAAAATTAATATCGAACCATTCATTTCTTCAAAATTGAAAAAAAATTACCAGCACATTTTCAGTGAACACATTTCAATATTTTCAGTGAATAACATACATTCGATCAGTAGTAAAACTATTTTTTTTCAAAGAAAATTTTTCTGCAAATGAATTGTTTCAAGATAAGTTGATAAACTACATCGAATATTTTTTAAATTCACAGTTGGAAATTATCTTTACAGAATGGGATAAGAAATTCATCAAAAATGAATCACTAGAGCCCTTGAGAACACCTGAACGAAGTGTGAAGAAAAAATAACTTTCTTATGGGAACCATAACATAATTATTCGGATACAGCAAGCGAGTTGATCATGAAATAAAAACAAAACTTGGGAGCTGAGGTAAAACTGTAAACCCTCAGGAAATTGCTGGCAGAGATTGCCGCACAGCGAGCTTCGAGCCCTAGCTTTATTAACGGAACGTGAGGCCCGCAGTGAGGCAGAGGCCAGGGAGAGAGGCGCTATACATTTCGCTCACCTTACATCTTTTAGCCGCTAAAGATTAAACTGTAATTACCCCAATTTCAGTTTGGGCGAAATACATATTGTGAATATGTGGATATGTTTGAGGTGATAAGTGACATGGATTTACCGAGACTTGCAGCTATCAGGGTCAACATGAACCAAAAAATACTTACAAAACAAACTATAATACTTCACAAATACTATAATACTATAATACTTTACAAAAAAAAAAAAAACTACAGCGGATGCCGTCTGATGCTTCGCATGTCACATGTCAAACTATGCCTCGTATGTCACATGTCAAACTATGCCTCGTATGTCACATGTCAAACTATGCCTCGTATGTCGAATGTCAAACTACAAACTATGCCTCGTATGTCGCATGTCAAACTATGCCTCGCATGTCACATGCCAAACTATGCCTCGTATATCACATGAAAAAATGATGCCTATTGTTTCACGTGCCTATAAATGCCGATCGAATGTCAGATGCTGAAATATGCCACGCATGTCAGATGCTAAATTACGCTTCGTATATCAGGTACATTACCTTTACAACAACAGCAGACTCCGAGACAGCAGATGGGCGAGTGCAGTTGAACGGTTTGTTCGGGTGAATTTCTGGGTCTCCAAGCCTGAGTCCTCCAGTAATGCCACCTAAACCTAGTGCTGAGGTCGTCACTGCCTTGTACCACTTCGGTGACATCCTCATACTCGAGGCTGTACTGTCTGTAGTCGGGACTACCGACGTTGCATCTTAGCCTTAGCGCTTGGTCGCAAGACCTCGGCATGTGGGTAGCCTGCAGCGTGGGACGGTAGTGACTACGATCGTCGTCAGGGTATAGGAAACGCGACCCGTGTGTTGTGAGGGTGAGGTGGCCAGGTTTAGGCACCCGGGGCCGTTGTTCTGGAGTTGAGAAGCGAGAAGAAACATTGGCGAGTGAAGAAGTCTGCCCCATCAAATAGGAGTGCCGGGGAACTGATGGTGAGAGACTTACGTCTATTCGTGAGCATCTTCCGACAGCATCTCACCGTCTCCGACGCAAAAGCCATTCACTTACTAGTCTTCAATACCAATGATTTAGAGGCCTGCAATTCATTGTTTTTTTCTATATAAGGTCATTAGCTCCACTTCAAAGGTCACTCTGTCTTTGCCATAGCTAAAGAGACACCGCAGATAAGTCCAAAAGAAATAACAAGCTATGGGCACCGACAATACTTATCAGCATCCGAGGGAAGTTTTCAACGTTTTCTTCAGCTGCGTCGATAATTATACGATAAAAGTGGAGAGTGCGGATGCTGCTGCGCTTCTGAACAAAATTAATCACTTTTCAAATTGTCATAAACGGCTTCAGTGCAATTTCGACGATAAATTCAACAATCATTTCAAGCAGTTCTTGCAATAACAAAGAGAAATACTATTTCTTTAACTAAACAATGGACTTCTATGACTTCTGGGAAAAAATAACTACTTTTTTACCCCGCCCAAATACAATTTATATTCTACACACGCGTCATAAATATATTCTACTCTAATTTTCTGTAGAAAGAGAAACGAGATTAAGTATACATCTTACATAAAATATCTGCTCTTATCTAGTCCGCGCGTAAGTGTAATCTAGAATATATGCAAAAACAGATTGACTAGAAGCAAAGATTATCCGAAGCCGTGGTAATTGAAACGAACTTGCGATTACAAGAGACAGCTTTAATCGGTGTTGCGACTGTTAGCACGGATGAGTGATAAAATCCCTTTCGCGATACCTTAAGCGGGCCCTTGATTCTGTACCGACAGAAAACCAATTAATCTGAGCATCTCTGCGCTCGATCCAAACTGACGATCATCAGCACAAATAAAAAGCCGTCAAGAGGCGAAAGAAAAGCTCCGGTCATGGCACACACAACGATCGTTACGCACCGACCGAATAGGTCCAGTCGCGATGGAAATTTCCACACATTTACTAAACCGATTGTGTGGAAACATGGTTTTTAAAGAACACCACATGAAAATAAAATAATTAATCATTTGTTGTCTCTCCCCATCTCTCACTTTGGAGCCTATCATCGTTTCCTCGATAGCCATCCCAGCCGACATGACGCAAATAGACTTTGTTAATTCAGCATTGAGGATTTTGTCTGGCACAGAGATAAAAAAAATCAGCGCACCTTAGTTTTCTGAGTGTCACAGACGTAGCAGACCCAGGCCACACTGGAAGGCCGCACATGCAACACAAGT